GCCAGCTGGCTTTTGTGGTTCCCGAGTTGAACGTACGGGACAAAATCTGGGAGACACACACACACATACAAATAGACGCACACACTAATCCACAAGCCCAGACAACCCGTAGTAATACGCGTTTTGTACAGCTGTTACACAGCACAAAACGCACAAAAATAAAATTTCAGGGCGCTGCCAAGCCTTGTTTGAATTACTGCAATGGAGATATCACGCCAGATTTGCAAAATGCAAGCCTTTTTTGCATCAACCATTTGAAACCAGTCGCAACTTGCTTCAAGCAGTTTCTTCTGAAGAGGAATCAGAATTCTCGTAGTCCAGCGTCAAAACCCCGTACTTGAAATCTCTAGTTAAAATGAAAGACTGCCTACTCAATTTTTTGAAAAATTAATGAATTGCTAAAAAGATTTTAATAGCCAGAAAAAATATTCGTGTTGGCAAAGTAGCTGGGATTTCTTCTGAACTAAATTTACCTTTGTACTAATTAGCATGCCATCTATGGTGCGTTTTTGACGCAACTAGACAAAAACGGCTTCTCTGTTTGTTCGCATTTACTACAGGAAACGGAGCACTAGAAGGGATCGTGAATGGTAGCAGATGCTAAATTCAACCTTTGACTGACACTGTCGTTGATGACTCTCTCTGTTTGGAATTAGTTGTTAGGGGGTTCAGTCCCTTAGACATGTCAGTATCAAACGAGCAAACAAATCGTAGAATGGATTGATTGTTCTGCACGAGTGGAACCCTTTAACATCGATACGACTGTAGATTACTACGCATAGCCCAACCGTTTGCAGGCATGGAAACAAGAAAATCTTTCATATTTTTGATGACAAATTACCTCAGGTTTTCTGTAAAAAGCGCGCCTCCTTTCGTCCCTTTCCCCTATAATTTATTCTATCATTGTGCGCTACCTTCTTTGAGTAAGTTAGCATCAGTTAAACATTAATTACTCTCAAATGACATACACTGGTAGTGATAAATACAGCCTAGGACCATTTAATGACTGTATAGGCATGTTTTTCATCAGCAACAGCACGAAAACTGCTGTTTTTGATGTTTTCTTCAAAAATTAGTCGCTCATCATCATATCATCTGTGTTTGCTTCTGCCCAACTAGTTCAGCTCAATACCAAAGCAAGAAAACTGAAACATTACTCACAGCATTTGGCTGCCTGCCAAGTCCTACTCTGCCAATTTTTTCAGAATTACTAGGTAGCATTCGTTACGTAAAGTCTTTACTATAACTTTGTCTTCAAAATAAATTATTTCCTCTCAATTTCTTTTGGCAGAGTAATTATAACAGCGATAAATCGACGCAGTAGCAGCCAGTACTTGTGGATTATCGAATAAACGGCAACTGAAAAAAAGACAAATTCGTACAGATTATTGGAAAAACTTTATTTACCCCGAGCACCATGTATGTCTCCGCGAAAATTTTGGTGGACGAAAATTCTAGCCTTTTTTTTTATTATGCCTTTTGTGCTGTGCCCTTGTGGAATTTATAGCGGTGAAAACTATTATCCGGAGAAGAGCAACGAGCTAAAAATTTTAGGACGGTGTTTTTTTGTTTACACAGGAACTTAGCAAACTCGAACTTAGCTTACAAGTATGACAAGGCCTCAAGTACAACCACGTGAAAGTCTCGGCTCGGAGGTTACTTGGAAGTCAGAAACACGACAGCATCACCAACATAAAATAACCGAATCGCCTTGGCATTCTCGGTATTTACATACGTCCAGATTTGTTTCGAAACATTTTGGTTACAAACATTTACCGTTTTTCCAGCGGATTTATCAGCTTGGTTGTAAAGCTGGCAATGCAACAACTTATAGTAGTAGGGGTGGCAGCGGCATATTTGGTTATAACAGCAATTGGTTGGTTTGGCAACGGTTGCATCGTCATCGCAACTATCCTTTCAAAGTAAGTGCAGTTCCCTAGTTTACTGAATAATATTGTAACAGGTGTTACACACACACTTTTATTCGTTTCGATGGTAAATTGGTACTGGTGTACGTTCAGGAAACGGCCATCTAAATTTCTTGTATGTGACATTCGGAAAGGAAAGCCGTTGGTAGTCTTACCGAAAAATGACCGATGCCGAAACGTGCTAATACTCGATTCACTTTCAAATGACCTCGTCTCTCCTAAAAAGTGAAGTACGGGGTGGATTTTGAATTTTCACTGCGTTTCACGACAAATTTAACATTGGAAAAAAAGAAGCTGATTTCTTTCTCGCTTACCTTTCCCTAAGTATATCACTTTTCCTAGAAAGTCGCATTTTTAGTAAAATATTGTTAGCTATTATGGCACGGAGAAGTACTATTGAAGGTCAGGGCTTTGACTCTGCCAATGCAAAAGTAATACCTCTACGATTTGTTTATTCATTTTGATAGTAAAACGTAAAGGCGTAAGCCAAGAACCACTGCAGCACCAGCCTGCACGTAAACAGTCTACAAAACTGGAGGTTATCAGCAGGACAGCAGCTGGTT